GAAAATTTAATGATGCTTTAAAAACATTCTATTTGAAGAACTGTATATCTTTATTGAAATTTTAAATTCATATATTAATTTTAATTTCTAATGCACTCTAAGTATATTATTATTTACTGAATAATATAAGACATTTAAACAAGCACGTACAAAACTATGCATGTTTGTCTTCATATGCTATGGGAATGCGTTTAAGTAAGTGGTGGCATAACTGATTGCATATAGTTAGGGTTATTTCAAAGTAAATTATCATTATATAACAAGGACATAACTCCACAATCTCAGATGAAAAGGCTTTTGTTTAAGGTAAACAGTTGTGGATAAAACAAATAGAAACTAATCAAAGAAAAGAACAAAATATAAAATCTTCCAATAAAAATTTAATTTGTCACTGGATAATACGCAATTTTTCTCATAAGCCAACTTTTTACCACAACATCCTAAACTTGTGAGTTTAGGCCAAAGCGGAAATGTAATGCTGGGAAAAACTGCAGGGAAAAGAAACTTTCCTAATTAAATATTTCATAGAGTAGTCAATATATTACATCATAGACTAGCCAATAGATAGTCCATTATATTAGACATATTAGTCAGTAGGATAGGCAATGAAACTTGATCAAAGACAAGTGATTGAATAAGTCTACCGATTAATGCACTAGTCCTTAAGTGACTAGTCTTTAGAATAGTGAATTGACTAATCGATGGATAAGTCCGTATATTAGTCTATATACTAGACAATATACAAATTACTGGACTACTTCATAGATTATTTCATACGTTAATCCATAGACTGATCATTAGACTTGTCAATACTATGTTACATTGACTAGGCCATAGATTTCCTTGTATATACAATAGTCAATAGATAAACATGCTAGAGGACAGTGCAATTTAATCGTCATCCTAATTTTGACAACATCTACAGAAGTCATTTAACGGAAGACCAATGCGTCTAGCATGATTACCAAATTTGTAGTAGCCAGTAACGATTGACTCCAGCTTAACAAGTTGTGGTCTATGAAGGCTAAGGAGATAGTTAGACCTTGTGAGGATACATATGGGATCACAGTGCTCTATCTGTCTTGAGCAGTAGAATAACAGTTATCAATAATCTGGCTTTTTAATGAAATGAAACATACCAGAACTGATCTATTTCCAGTTAGATTAACGTGGATCCAGCCCTCGTCAAAGTGTCTGCAATTTTAATCCTATACGTACTCTCTTATCCCTTGACTCATATTAGGGTAATATTCGAATGTCTCAGCATCTCATTGATAGACTTGTGGCATTCAGGGATAAGTGTTGAAGTGGAAAATACAACAATAAGGGAGCTTGAGTATAAATTCTGATATCTACATTCATCATTGAGTCTGAATTTGAATCTCAAATTCGTTAATGAAGATGCCACCACTAACCATTTTCTCCGCCTTGCATCCTGTCTGTATATACACGGAAATAATTGTCTAATGGAAGGAGGGATCCTTGAGGCTTCGTAGTAATATGTTTTTTGAATTGTCTCACTAGAGACGGTGAGATACAATAATCCGGGCTACAATAATAAATAGCGTACTGGGTTCTGGGTAAAAGATCCACTAATGAGTTAATTACTATTAAGTGAATTTCAGAAGAGGGCTTTATATAGGAGTTATAACCAATTAACGAACGATCTGGGTAAAATTTCACATAGTAATTTTTTAATGAATTATGTTTGTTTAATTAATTTTCAAAAGTGGGCACTATATGGGAGCTATACCAATTATGGAACGATCCAGATTTCAGTTGGTAATAGAGTTTCTATTGATATTAGAAATAGGAAATATAGAAGATTTGAATTTCGCAGATATCTGAGATCTGAGATAACTGATTTCAACATCTGAGGTAACTGATTTTAACATACACACATTCAGGCAACACATTCGGAGTATGTTACCTTTATGAACATCCTCCATTTTTGTGGGAAGAGAATGTTGGTTATTAAACTGATACACAGTGAAATCTATATATCGGATAAGCTGAAAAAGACAAGAAATACCGTTCCGAGTAGTGGTAAGTATTTCTCGGATAAATGAGAAGTGTGTTGGGTTAAATGAAGATGGATGTGAGCTATTTTTGTCAGGGTAAGTTCAGTGTTTAGTCTATTCATACGTCTCTAGGTGCTGTTGCCGAATCCACAGAGCTTATCCCATCTGTGTGGTTGTGGTTCTGTGGAAAGTGAGATTTTTGCATCTCGAAAGTTAAGCAATGACTCAGCAATGGTCAGAGATTAGATAACACGAGTACTTGAGCAAAGTGTTTGTACACGGACCGGCATATCCGTGTATAAAAAAACCTAAGTGAGGGTGCAAGACATACAAAAGGGAGATGGTAAGTGGTAAAACAGCTTACTCTGTTGTTGTAAAAGTATCACCGTAAAATAAGACCAAAAGGCAGTTGTTAACGTAAAGCACTTAGAGTTATACACCCGGACAGACAGACAAGATATATAGATATATAGATAGATAGACTGACAGACAGACAGATAGATAGATAGATAGATAGATAGATAGATAGATAGATAGATAGATAGATAGATAGATAGATAGATAGATAGATAGATAGATAGATAGATAGATAGATAGATAGATAGATAGATAGATAGATAGATAGATAGATAGATAGATAGATAGATAGATAGATAGATAGATAGATAGATAGATAGATAGATAGATAGATAGATAGATAGATAGATAGATAGATAGATAGATAGATAGATAGATAGATAGATAGATAGATAGATAGATAGATAGATAGATAGATAGATAGATAGATAGATAGATAGATAGATAGATAGATAGATAGATAGATAGATAGATAGATAGATAGATAGATAGATAGATAGATAGATAGATAGATAGATAGATAGATAGATAGATAGATAGATAGATAGATAGATAGATAGATAGATAGATAGATAGATAGATAGATAGATAGATAGATAGATAGATAGATAGATAGATAGATAGATAGATAGATAGATAGATAGATAGATAGATAGATAGATAGATAGATAGATAGATAGATAGATAGATAGATAGATAGATAGATAGATAGATAGATAGATAGATAGATAGATAGACTGACAGACAGACAGACAGACAGACAGAAAGACAGACAGAAAGACATACAGACAGACAGAAATTCAGACAGATAGACAGACAGACAAGCAGACAGATAGACAAACAGACAGACAGACATGACAAAATCGAATCCGTTATCTAAGAGAACTCGGAATACAAACATATACTTTATAGGATCGGAAAATTATAGTGTATAAATTACTAAAGGAACGACAAACTTACATATATCCTTTTCGCGAAGGTGAAGGGTATAACAAGCTGAAAATTGATTTGATATTTTTAAACGTAAACAGTTATTTAAATATAAAACATATTTGTCTGTAACTGTTAATATACCTGCCGATGTACATACATATCTATGTTAAACTGCATATTTCAAATTCTATATACTTATGTACATAATAATTTTCGGAATGTTGAGAGTGTATGAAGTAAAATTTAGATATTTTCTTACAACTTAATACATATTCAAAACAAATCTGAAACATAACTACACACATAGATATGTATGTATGTACATAACATAAATTCTAACAACAAAATTGAGTCAAGCATATTAAAATAAACAAATAAATTTTAAGAAATTTCTCTTGAAATATTCTCTGTGTAGTTGTATATATATAAACATTAATGTTCAATGAATAACACATTATCTTTATTACTTATTAATATTTACACATATTTGTTTATTTATTTATTTATTTTTGTATATTGTTTGCTTTTGCTTCATCATCTTTAACATTTTTAAGTAACAGCCACTTTAGAAATAAAGCCATTGAAGTAAGGAATAAAGAATATAAACTAGCTTAATATTCAATACACTTTCACCAGTCAGTCATTAAGTTATAGAAGAAGGGAATTAAAAAGGTTGAAAGTTAAGAAGACAGGCAGGCAGGCAGTCATATCAATGACTCATAGACAAATACTCTGGCATAATGTTTTGCATACATATTAGTAGTAGAATCAAATACAAATATTAATAAGTACTAACCCAGCAGTTCGGTCGGACAGTCCCGAACTCCCTATTAAACCTACCTCATAGGGTTACACCTAGCCACCAACTGTCCAGGTGAATAACTATTTTAACATGTGTTTGTCCTACGAGGTAGTCAATCGTCACCCCATAGGTTACGAAGAGACAGACAAGTGCTTTTTAGTGTCCCCTCTCTCGCTTACAAAGGAGATACAAAAGTGACGATTATCTTCACCCTCGTTTACAAAGAGTACATTCGTGACGAAGGACGCATTGGAGCCAACCAGGTGGTTAGATGTTAGTGGCAATCACTGTCATTTTCGGATGCATTGACTCTTTGTCGAACTGCAGGGAACATATCCTTGCTAGTATGTGTTTTGAAGTAAAGTTTTGCTATGATGCTGAAGGATATATGTATAAGGAAGAAGGCTCTATGGTAAATAGATTGTCTAGTGTCTATGAAAACATGTTTAGAATATAAATTGAAGTGATAATCTTTAAATAATTCCTTTATAATGTTGCGTTTTCTTTTGCCAGCATTTGAGAAAAAAAAAAACTTTCCAAATCAAAACCACACACACCGAGACCAAAGCAAAACCACACACAGAGACCAAAGGAAACAACAATATATAAGAAAAAAACAAACTCTACAAAAAAGGCTCTAAACTAAAAATTAAAACAATATCCTGTAAACGTCCTATTTATATCGAGAAACCCAAGAAGAGCATAAAACAGCTGTGTGGAGACTTAGCAGCAGGCTCTCACCCTCTCTTTAGAAAAAAGTTTTAAAGAGTCATGCGCATTGTCTCCCCAGTTTAAATTTAGAGCTAAAAAAGCTTTAACTAAGAGTATAACTAACCCCTGTTTTAAAAGCTAAAGCTTTTTTTCAGTTCCTTACAAAGAAAACTTACCGGAAGATACTTTTTTTGTAGCTGTTGTTGTAATATTCATGGTCTATCTTGTACAGCCATGTTAGAATTTAAATTCAGTTCATCTCGAACGTGCGACGCGTTAAGTTTATTAATTAAAATCGTAACGTTTTAAAAGTGTTGAAAGGAAAATCTAAAAAAAAATAAAATAAAAGTATATTAAAATCTTTTAAAAAAAAACCTCCAGAGAAAAAAAACATATAAACCTGAGAAAAAAAAATTAAAAAAAAGGAATAAAAAATTTATAGTTAAACAAAAAGTTTAAAGTGTAATAAATAATTTGTTAACAAAATCAGCATCAATTTTACTTAAATTAATAATAAAACAAAAATAAAATTTATCTCAATTTAACATACATACTACATATTAAGTTAATGTAAGTGTCTGTAATAATAAAAAAAAAAAATTTAAGGGTTTTTTTATCAGCTAACATTAAACCCTACTTCACTCTATAACAGGGTGTCTGCATAAGAATCACACAAATACATATATACATTTAGCAAAAGTAAAACAACAATTTTCTCATATTTATCCCCCCCCGCAAAAAAAAGTAAGAAATAAAATTTATTTACGCAGTATCACCAGCTGCAGAATAACAAAAAAAGTATCATTGTGGTTCAAAAGTATATTTCTGAGGATAACAACTAAAAAAAAAAAGATTTTTTTTCTTCTTTTGGCTTCGACATCAACAACTACTACAACGAAAAGGTATGTTTGTATTAGTTAGACTACAGATCCTTGTTTTTCACATTTTTTTACTTTTTCCTTTATTTTATGGTCCTTTTGCTATATATTTATGCATAATTTCTTTTTTTTTTTTTGGGAGGGTGATATATTTATTCTGCCCAAAAGCTTTCTTTCTTTCAGTATTCTGTTAGTATCTTTATACTTAGAATGTTAGCAGCAGCAGCAGCATTAAATGTATTTTTATATTATTAATCACCTCTTTTTTTTGCGTTTCTACCAAACATATTTTTATCTTATTGCAATAAATATTTCTATGTAATCCCTTGTAATATTATTCATTTTGATAAATGTCATTGATGACAGTTAACTGTGTAGATTGATTTGATTAAATTATTTATATTTGTGTGTGTTTTTTTTTCTGGGGACAAATAGAAAATGATTTCATTTATTTAGGTTATTTAAATTAATTCACTTATGTTATACAATTTTGTAGTATAACTATAAGAAAAAGGTCGATTTTATAAAAATTGTAATAAATAAATAGTATTAATAAGATGTGAGTCTTTTTACAATACATTATAGACATAAAAAGGTAACACACAGGCAATATTTATCAGAGACCCAAAGAAACGTCTACATATTCTGGTTTTTTATAAAATTCTAGATTTATTTAATTATGTCCCTAAAACTAAGTTTAAGAAATTAATGAAATTCCTCGAGGATATTAATTACACAGACCGACAAATTTCTATCACAGAAACCAATGTATGTTATCCTTAAGGAAATCGAATCTGGTCCAGAAAGTCCAATCTAACTACTTCAGAAAAGGTTTAACCCCAGTTATACCTTTTTATACCCACCATAAAAAAAACACACCGAAATATTTTTTATAGACCCACAAAAGTATATATTCAGCGTCCTTATTAAATTCTAAGTCGATCTAGCTACATCCGTCCGTCCGTCTGTCCGTCTGTCCGACCGTCCGTCCGTCTGTCTGTGGAAATCACGATAGGGACCACATGGGAGGAGCTAGACGGTTGAAATTTAGCATAAATATTCTCAATGAATAAGTTTTGTTTGGTATTGAAAATGGACAATATCGGTTCACGTTTTCGGAACAGCTTTAACGGGCATAACTGTTTTAAAAATAAGATTATACCACTGAAATTCAATATAAATAAGTTTCATATGAGCCAAAATCTCTCTAGCTAATTTTATGAGTATCGGTCCATAATTGACACTACCTCCAATATAAGCTTCACTTTAGAAAATGACTAAACCGCACATAACTGGCATAAAACTACGAATATTGCGATGAAATTTAACACACATCAATTTTATGTGAGCCAAAATCTTCCTTCCAATTTTTTTTGAGGATCGGCCCAGTAATTACCCTACCCTAAGGTCAACTTCCGAAAATTACTTTAACACTCATTATTGGCTTAAAATACGAGTTTAGTGATGAAATTTGATATAATTAAGTTTCTAGCGAGCCAAATTCTCTCTACCAAATTTTGTGTGGATCGGTTCATCATTGACCCGCCATATAAGGTCCCCTTCAGAAAAATACTTTTATGCTCATTACTGGCTTAAAATTAGAGTATAGCGATGAAATTCGACATAATAAGTAAGTTTCTTAAGAGCCAAAATCTCTATACCAAATTTTAGGTGGATCGGTTCATAATTGACCTTACACCTCATATTGACCCTTCAGAAGAAGACTTTAACGCTCATTAATGACTTCGGTCTACAAAATGTTATGAGGATCGGTCCTCATCAGTTAATTTGATGAGTAGGATTCAATAAATTACTAGTATAGCGATGAAAATCGACATAAAAAGTTTTTACATAGAAACATAATTCTTCATTCTGAATTTAATGAATATTGATCTATAACTGACTCTAACCTCTATATAAAGTTTCCTTCAGGAAATATTTTGTTTTTAAAAAATAAATATTTTGTTAATTCCAAAGAGTCCGGTCCATAATTAAGCCATATTCCCTGATGTTTATAGCAGAGCATTCCTTTTACGGCAGACGGTTTGGTGGTGGGCATATGAGATTCAGCACAGCTGAATATAACACTCTCACTTGTTCTTCTTCGAGATATTTTAACGTAAATCTTGGAACTACTAAACTCTGTGTTTTGATTGGCCTGTTTTATTATAGAGTGTATCAATCGGCTTTTTTGAGTGGATCATGTCCGTCCGTCCATCTGTACGTCCGCCTTTCTGTCTGTTTAGTAATCAAACTACAGATAGCAATTTTAAAGATTATATTGGTAATCGCATTACTTTTGAAACAAGGACGAACCCTATTGATTGGTTGATATCGGTCCATTATTTCGAAGTACCAAAATTGGGCTTTGAAACTCAGAATTGTGCCAAATTTACAAAAATCTCTACTTAAATAGGCACAACTTGACCATATCCCCCTACAAGGTATCCCTCTGACAATCGCTTAAACGTCATTAATTCCTTTATAAACACTTGTATATTAATTAAATTTATGTCGACTATCGGTTCATATATGACCCAAGTCTCTCATATATAGGCTTTCATCAGAAATATATAGAAATTAAGACAAAATTCAAATTCAGGTCATCACTTCGGTCGGCCATACCCGACTATACTTTCTTACTTGTTTATGTTGAAAATCATAATAGTAGGTTTACAATTTATTAAAACTACCATAGAAATGTTTACATTCTCAGAAAGAAGGAACTCTCTCAGAACTTTGGTATCTGCACGATATTTCACCACAACTTAATTTGTTATAAACGGAAATTATTTCAGTTTTTTATTAGATTCATACACTATTGGTTATGCCTTTCATATAAAGTTTACTTCCGAAAATCACACAAAAGCATATAGCTCATGAATATATACAATATCGATTCAAAATGTCAAGTTTTATATGTAAAAAATTGTATCTTAACTTTTTTTCGATCAGTCTATAAATAAACATAGCTCCCACTTCCGTCAATCATTTTAAATAACGATGTTGGAACAAAATTTAACAAAAATTTTTACAATTTTTATCAGATTGATGGACCATAACTGCCGTATAAAGCCACTCCCGAATCAGTTAAACGGTCAACGCTGAGCAATGATATAAAAATATGGCATAAGCATTTAGGCATAAAAGCACGTTATTTAACCGGTTCGGTCCATAATTGTCTATAGCATCATAATCCATTTAAGTAACAACAATTAAGAAGCGCATTTCTGAATGCAGCACTATATTTGGACTATGGTGTTTATGAATCTAAAGTCTTTGTGGATTGATGAGTTTGTCAGTTTAGATTAGATTAGATTAGATTAGATTACTATACTAATAACAAGTTGATTTTCAGTATAGTGTCTTTAATAGATGCTTGGTTCAATTATGGATCAAGCTCTTCAGAGTTTCAAAGTTCGATTAAAACAAATATTTTTTGTCAAATTTTATCTGAATACTTTAAATTTTAAAGGATTTATTGAAAATAATAACGCTCATTCACTACAAGATTGGCATAATCCAAAAAGTCGTTTCTAGATTCAGATATTTCAAAAAAATCTAAACCAAAATATTAAATAATTATTTTTTTTTTTAATTAAAACTTAAACTTAATTAAAACGCTTTTCATCGATTTCGAAGTAAAAATATAAAACTAGTAAGAATTTATAGTCGAACATGGCCGACCATATGATACCCTACAGCAGTGATTATGTTACAAATTTTGATTATTTTTTTAAAAATAAAGTATTGAATTTCATTTTTACCATAATTCAGGAATATTTTAACATTAACAATTTGTTGACAACAAAGGAATTTTCTAAAGGAGGGGTTATATAGGGCCAGGGGGTTAATATGGTCTTATCCTTATAAATTTGATAGAGATGATACGTGATATTAGAGTTTATAAGTGAATTTTGATCATCAAGTGTTTATAAGTGAATTGTGACCAATCAAGTAATTTTTTGAAGGTGACTTTGTATGGGAGATAGGGTCAAATGAGGCCCGTTCATTACGAAAATCAGCAATATCATTAAGACTTATATTAAACTAGGTTATGTTGATTCTTGAAGTGATACAAGAACATTTAACACATTTATGACGACAAAAGCTCTATTCGGGCAAGACGGTTGTATGGGGACTATACGAAATAATGGACCGATTTTAACAATTTTCAATTGGCTTCGTCCTTGGGTTAAAAGAGGGAAGAGTATGTGCCAAATTTTATCTAATTATCTTGAAAATTGCGACCTATAGTGTGCGCACAACAGACAAACGGACAGACGGGTATAGCTAATTCGTCTCAGAAAATGATTCTGAGTCTTAATTCGGGTCTGAGTTGGAGAACAACTCTCAGGCTTATGTTTGTTATCCGACGGAATTGCGTCTCACTCGTACCTTTGTGATACTGTCTGTATAACTGCCTATTTATACACTGTATCGACCTCGTGCTGTTGCACAGTGGTATAGGAATAATAAAAGAGGAAAGTAATTCTGTAACTTCTAAACGGTTTGTCCGTTTAGTCTTAATTCGTGTCTGAGTTGGAGACGGACTTTCGACGGAATTGCGTCTCACTCGTACCTTTGTGATGCATTGTATAACTGTCTATTTATACATTGTCTGTATCGACCTCCTGCTGTCGTACAGTGGTATAGAAATAATTAAAGAGGAAAGTAATTCTGTAACTTCTAAACGGTTTGATCGATTGTATTTGGAACCCATGGGCCCATCAGGGACGTAGTCAGATGTCCGCAAAATAGGACACTTATGTTAAATTTTTAAAACGACCTTATTAAATTTCCAACGTTTTCAGATCTTAGAAATTACTCTATTAAAATCTCCCCAACATTCTTAAATCACTTTTCTTCTAAAAGCCACTAAATAGAAATTTGAACTACGTCTACATCAGAAATTAATATTCTACTTTATATTATTACATTTCTACCCTTGTATGTGTTTAACATATTAATTCTTAAACTATATTTCGTCCCTCCAGTTAGATAAATTTCTACCTCAATTAAAA